TGCAATATATAATCAATCGCATCACTATGCCCAGCCTAGAGAGCTGTGTAATAATATCGTCCTTACCAGAGATACCTACAACAAAATGATGAGCAAGTTAGCAATCACCTTTAAACATAAGCTAGGTCTCGCAAACACAGTTCCTAATAATATATTATGCATCAAATTTGAGTATAATCTAATATACTTATGGGACAGTCAACTATTGCTTAATGTCACAAACTGGATCCCACGAATTAACCAAAATAATATAATAGGAGAAATTACTAGAAAAAGACTACAATTATTATAAAATATGTTCTGATTCACATAAACAATAATAAGTTATTTACACATACCCCTTCTATCACAAGAAAAAAACCTTATACACAATATCATATGTCTACTGAGAACACATTGATTCTTCTTCCAGAACACACTAAATGAAAAATACATCACAATCACTGAAACAGATACTCACATTAAGGAAGTTATAAGTAAAAGTTTCTATAACCAATACAAAAAAAAACTTGAAGTACAACATTCTCTTTATTGATCAAATACTAAACAGTAGAAGGAAAAAAACATCACATTGGTGCCAAGTAATTAGATTCAATTATTACACAATATAAGGACATACCCCAGCTTGATACCACACACTTAGAAGCAGAGTACAAGAATAGATTATAAACAATCAGTCGCAACAACTCCTAATTAATTCATTTCTATAATGCAGTCAATTTACAAATCAAAACACAGCTCGTTTATATTGGATTAGTACAGAACTAAATAATTAGATAATCCTGGAAAGAAAATAAAAAAGACTAAATGACCACTTAACAGAATATAGATACTACAATAGAATTAACAACCAATCCCCTCTAAGTGAATGCACAGGCTATAACATCAATGACCATAGTCAAAACAATTACTTATATACCTTCTCAGCTAGCTATCAAAGCTCAATTAATATTTCTATTCATTTTAGCAAAGTTACTACTAGTAATATAGCCAACACAGAGGGTAACACATTTAGGTGCAGAGTATCTCCAGATTCTGTCTACACTACACTCAATGTACTATGTACCTCTAGCACAACTACTATTTATGACCAGACAGAAGTTATCATCCCAGTAATACAAAACTTAGACAACCTTCTTGGAAAACTCTTTATCACAGAGAACCATATACTTAAGGAACTATCTAATCTAGCCTCAAAATACAAGATTATATGATTTTTGAAATATATACAGATGAATCTCTTAAAGAACTCAATTGCAAATGGCTCATAGATATAGGTATAAAAATTATCACAAGTGAAGGAAAAGAATTTACCTTTCAAAGACAAACAACATAACACTCATTATCTATCAAAGCAGAGATTATAGTAATTCTCATTGTTCTTAGTATCCTATCAAACTTTAATCATGTCAATATATTCATAGATACAATGTTGCCATAAATAGTATCATCAACATCTCACAGTCAACACCAAACAAAACACTGAAAAAAACAAAAGAATTTTAATCTTCTACAACAAATTCAAGATATACTCAAGAAAAAAAACATCAAACTGAAGTTAATCAAGGTAAAGGCACATATAGGAATTGAACACAATGATATTGCAGATAAACTTGCAAGTATAAATCAAATACATGGCATGGCTCCAAACAATAAACTAATACATATGAATATAATATCTAACCCACTACTCACCTTCATTCCCCAATAGGACCAAAAAGCCATAGACATTCCTATTAAACTAATAATCCAATGTATCACAAATGCAGTTCACCCAGTAAAATAGAGACTTCTTAATCATACCAGAATCAATTTTGATAACCAAATTATACAAGAAATTCATGACCCATAACAGCAAACAATTTACAACGCATAAAAATGAGCAATCACTTTACCTATTGGCAAGATCAATATCAAAGAATATTTAGACTCCAACTATGGAATGAAAAGCTTCTTATAAAAGTGAAACTATATTACAGACTACCCAAATTGTATAAAGATAATAAATGCATTAACTGTGGTTACAAAGAATCTAATATATACCCCTTTATCTGCCAGACATTCAAACATAATATAGGTAACTTTATTATCAATACTATAATAAACATCATTACTAAATTTAATAAATATGATAGAATCAAAGAAGTTTTTAAACAGTACTTAAGCAATACTACACTACACTACTGGTGATATATAGAGGTTGCTATTTGGGAAGCATCTTAAAAAAATGATCAAAATCTTAAGCAAACTGATCCCCAACCAAAATACAAAGAAAATATCTATCCAGGAACTTATCAAAAAAATTATATGCCATCTATAACAAATATGGCAAAGCAGATATGAAGCTTTTCAAATATGAAAAAAATAAAAAGTATTACAAGAGCCATAGAAAAACTGTACAAATTCAGCTCTATTTAGCTAGACCTATAAATCAAGGAAAGAGAGAAACATATCAAAAATTAATTTACTAACCTAGTTAATCAACATATACATAAAAGTATTTAATCGATCACAACTTCCTACCACTTATTAGAAATTTTATTTAGCGCTAGTCCAGCCTTGTCAGGTTAGTTCCCTTTATAGGGTGGCAACAAGTCACAAGGTAGATTAATCCCTTATTTGGTAAATAAAAGTAGTTATAACATTGCTATATATAATTTTCCACTAAATTCAAATAAAGAAAAGTTGAGTCAGCAATTTAAAAAAATTTTTTTTATTAATTAATTTTATAAATATATTTTAAAATTAAAACCAAAAATTTTTTTATTTATATTTAAAAAATATTTTTAATACAATATATTAATATTTATATCTAAAATATTATAAATAAAAAATAAGAGTTTATACTTAAAAAATATAAATTTAAAATTTGTTTAAAATTAATTTAATAATATAATTTTGATAAATTTATAAATATTTATTATTTTAATTCATACATACACAAAAAAAAAATTTTTTTATATAATTTTATATAATTAAAAAATAAAATAAAAGGATTATTAAAATATTATTAATTATAATAAATTTTAAATTCTAGCAATTTATTTTATTGATTATAATATTATAAAATATATTTAATCGGTTAATTAAAAACTTTTTTATTATATGAATATACAATATGTAACAAAACTTTTTGGAATTTTTTAAAATGCATATTTTTGTTTATAAATTAATAAAAAATTATTCAAATTATTTAAAACTTTATAATATATTTTTTAAGCATAATTATAAAAAATATAAAAAAAAAATATTAAAATTATTATGTAATTTATTTATTAATTTTAATTTAAATTTATAAATAAAAAATTTTACATATAAAAAAAAAGATTATCAAATTTTTTTAAAAAAATAAATTTTAAAAAATTTATTAAGTTATTTTATATTAAAATCTTAATTAATTTTGTTTTTTTAGTTACAAAGAAATTATTTATAAAGTTTTATATAAAATAAATAAATTTTCATTGAATTATAAAAAGTAAACCATTTTTAGTAAATTTTTATATTGATTTTATATAGTAAAAACATAATAAAAAATTTATAAATCAATTTTATAAGTAATTTTTTTGAATTTAAATAAAAAATTTAATATAAAATAATATAAAACTTATACAAATAATCTTAAGTAACCTTATTCTTTGACTTTTAAAAAATATATATTTAAAATTTTATATTATTTAGATAATTTTAAGTAACCTTATTCTTAGACTTTTAAAAATATATATTTAAACTTTATATTATTTAGATAATTTTTTTATTAAGTTATGAATAAATAAAGAATTTCAAAAAGTTTTGTTACACACTGTAAATATAATAAATATTTAAATATTAAAAATTTATTGAAAAAATTTTATTTTGTGTAAAATAAATAAAATAATTATTTATATAAAAATATAAATGCAGAAATAAACTAAATCAATTTTCAAACATTCAAACTTTAACATTATTTTTTGAAGATGTGCCAAAGTATAAAGTCATGAAATATAATTTAATCTTTAAAATCACATACTCCGAGGTAGTACGAACCCTTTTTAAGCAACAATCACCGATCGCCGTCAGCTGCACGCACTTTTATACTGTGCGTGAGCAGCTTGTTGATAACAATTCGTCATTCCGCAAGTCAAAAAAAAAAAAAAAAAAACAAAAAAAAAATGGTCCGCAGCAATTGCCTTATTGATGATTTGAAATTATTAGTTAATAATTGCCAATACAGCGATTTAGAAATCAAATGTAAGGACGGTAGTATTCTTTATGGAAACCGTGCTATCCTTGCGGCTCGGTCTGAATTATTCAATAAAATGCTCTATACTAGGACGAGTAAAACTCCCCCAAAACAAATCTTGTTTTCAAAAATCGAAGCGTCAATCGTGAAGATTATTCTGGAATATTTATATACTGGATCAGTTCCTGATGGAAGCTTATTGTCAGACAATGCACTTTAAATTTTACAAGCAGAGGATTTTATCCAATTAAAAGATCTTCAAGACATTATTTCGGACTTCTATAAAAAAGCATGTCAGAAGGACGAAATTAATAATAAATCTCCGGAATTATTATCAAAGGCTGTTCAATATATGCCCTCGTGTGATAATGAAATTGTCGATTTTTTATTAGATTCAGTTGCTAAGATTCCATTAGACACTATTGGATTCAATCGATTATCTCTCCAAGCGTTACAATTGTTATTGTCTAAATCAAACGAAAAGGGGATTTTTTTCGTTACGAATGAATATTCAGTTCTACGGTTTACAATTTTATTAGTTGCGAGGGAGATATCGCAAGAAGCTTTTTCTGCCTTAGAGAAAAGATTACCAGTATGGGATACACTCTAAAATGAGTTTAATTTCAATAATAGAGATGATATTTCGAACATCAAGGAGTTATGCGCTTCCACTGCAAATAACGCGACAAGTCTTATCGAATTTATTGATCTTCGATTAATTGATGCCAAAATTCTTATAGAAATTATCGAACCATTGAATTTAATCTCTCCTCAAAAATTAATGGAAGCTTATCGATTTTATAGCTATGAAATGAAACCTAGTTCACACTTCCGCGGATTAATATGTGATAAATATGGTTGTGGATCAGATATAATTATTAGTTCCGACGGATCTACAGTGTTTCATGTTGGTTTACAAACTGTTAGGATCAACTTTTTAATGAGCACGGGAGTCCACAAACTTTGTATTAAAGTCGAGAATTTAAGAGAAGACGGTGTTGAGTGGTTTTGTCTTTGTGGCAAATTTTTAGATTATTCAATATTTATAGGATTTCAGAAAAATGGTTGGGCAATAAGCTCTAATGGTTCTTCATATCATAATAATGTATTTAAAAAATCAAATACGCCACGATTCCGCTATTTAGGTGCAGAAGTTATTATGTGTTTGAATACCCGGACGTTTGACTTTTCTGTTGATGGAAAATGGTATAATGTGGAATGGGATGATCTTCCATCAGAGTTGTATTTTGCTGCGTCACTAGGTAAAGGGGGGAAATACACTATAAAATATCGCGAACTTATTTCATGAAGGGAAATTCTTTGAATTTTTTTTTTTTTTTTTTTTTTTTTTTTTTTTTTTTTTTTTTTTTTTGTACCAGAACATTGGAGTTAAATTAATATCCAAACCATTTTTATTGATAATTAAAAGTTAAACAAAGAAGATAATGTGATAAAAAGTATTGTAATAATTATTTGCAGAAACTTTTATTTACAGAAATAATCAAGACATTTTTTTTTTAATTGCTGATGTATTTGGAAAAGTTACGACTTAATCATTAGGAATTAATTTCATTAAAAATTTTATTAAAATAAGTACACACCCCTAACATAAATTACCGGAAATTATCATGTGATAAATAATAATGAAAAAAGATGCCGATTTTTAAAATTCAAATAAAGAATTTTTTTTTATTTAATGACAATAGATTTTTTTATGATATTAAAAAAAATGTGTTCTATTTTTAATGAAAAAAATCTTGAAGATAAAAAACTAATATTTAATATGTTCACCTTTAACCTTAATAACATTTTTAATATGCTTTGGAATACTTTAAATTAAGTGATGTAAAGTTTCTATAGGAATATTTTCCCACTCTTCTCGTGCAATTCTAATTAAATCTTGCTTTGATTTAGGTAAAGGTTTTCTTTTTCTAATCTGACGATCGAGATGATCCCACAAGTGCTCACGTAATATAAATAAAATAAATTTATTTTGTAAATGATTCATATGTTAAATTCAACGTTAGTCGAAATTATGTTTAAACTTACAAAAACATAAGAAGAATTGTTGGCGTGGTGAAAAATCAAATATGGTCTCTTGTTTTCGCATTTACTTTCTATTATGTAGATAATATCCTGTACATAATATGTCAATTTAGATTCAAGTGATACGTAGAAATTAACTCCTAGTCCTCCATAGGAATGATGATACTTTGCAAACTTTTTTAACCCAACATGTTTTTAATAAATATTAGAACATTAGATATTTTACATACACGTACATAATTGCAAAATTTTATGTAAAAATATCCTAGAATATAGCATCTAAATTTGTTTAATATATGCGGAATGCAAATTCCGGGACGCGATGAATATGTCGTACATATGCGTTGCACTCGAATCTAATCCAGAATTGTGCGCTTCAATCTAACGAATATTGGTATGTAATCAAAGAATTGCCATGAAAAGTTGTATTATTCTGTACGTGTGATTCGATAAATCATGAAGATCCAATTACACCGAATCTGGAATATCTAATTATAATCATTACTATAAACCTTTGTCGAATCCATGATTTTTTTCATTATACGAATTAGAGTTTTTGCGCATTATATTGTACGTATACGGCACTTCGTTATACGTACGGTATATTACAATATACAATAAAATTTGTCATTTATTTAGGAATTATAGGCGATAAATTAAACATTGGATAATTATAAACCAAGAAAAATAATTTAATAAATGCTTTAATATATTTATTGATAAACCTTTATTTAACTGGATTCTTTTTTTTTTTTTAAAAAAAAAAAAGGATTACTTATTCTATTAAATGCATTAAAATCCCTTATATTTTTATTAAGCAGGTTTATATTATATAATTATTTGTAAAATAATAACAATAATAATTATAATAATAAATAAAAAATAAAGAAAATAATAAAAAAAATTCATGATATATCAAAGGAAATATAATTTATAAAGAATTTATAGAAAATTACAACTGATATAATGCACATTGACATTTTGTTTTTAAATATTTTTATTTTTTTTTTAATAAATATATATACATATACACTGTGTATAAGGTTATTCTGACTTATTTAATATAACAAATTTTTGATAAAATAATATTACCCTATTAATTTGAGCTTTATGTTATGTCTATGTAATTATTACCTGTCCATAATTGAGTTATGTATAAGATTTATATACTGTAAGAGACAAGGAAATGCGAATCAATGAGAAGAAATAATGCAATTATAGGATAAAATTATACTGCATATAAATCGCAATGAACCTTAGTTAGTCGCAATATAATCAATGAATTGCGAACATTATATTAGATGAAAGGTTACAATTTTATAGTAAAAAATAATAAGAAAGTAAGATACGCATAATAGATTTTTTAAGTAAAGTATTGTTCGTCTTCACATAATACATAGCAACATTATTAAATTTTTAGCAAGACTCTTTTAAAACTCTCAAATCGCTCTCGCTTTTTGTTGTTATTTTATTGCGATTTTTGTGAGTTATACTCGCTGAATCAAAATACAACAGGTTCGTCAATAGACTAAACATCAATAATGAATATTTATTCTAATGTATTTTAAAAATGTTTTCTGATTTGATCGTTAATTTTGATCAATTTTTGAACAGTGCTAAGATCATAAATTGATGTTTAAGTCCTGAGAAATTATTTAATTAGTTTATAAAATACCATACAATATTATAATCTAGTGCATCGCGTTGAATCCAATACTCGATTCACATATCAAAAAAATAAATATTATTTATGAGCGAAATTAATTTATCTTTCAAAATTCGAAATTATCATCACATTCTAATTCTCCTATAGTTATCTGATAATCGTCAAAAGAAATTCATTCGGATTTTAATGAGATATTCGCAAAAAATCTCATCAAAGAGAGTTTGTTTGTGTTACATTCAAGATATGTTCTATTATTAATAGTGCTAACTAAATCCATCATTGAGCGTCTGCAATCCGGAAATTTCGATCCGCGCTGTTAGTCATATTTGGAAATATTTCAGGCAGGTTGTTTAAACTCCGTCTATCTCGAAAAGTTAGAATTCCCGCTCTAAAAGAAAATTGGGAAGCATTTGCATGTAATATATGCGTTAAAGTGGTAAAATAACGGTATAATGATATCAAAAAAAGTATACGTATAGTTCAAATTGGCAAGTTATCGTTATATTTTAATGCAATGCATTACATTATATTATAAATATGCATATTTAAGGTCGTATTTTAATAATTTAATTATTACCGTAATTGGTTAAATTCTTTCGATCCGCTTATTACATGCAAGGAAATTATTAATGTAGCCCAAATGAGTGTGAAATCATTTTCTAACTAAATTATTCTTGTTGCTTGATGTATTTGGAACATATTGCTTTTAAATAGTGGAATTAATAAATGTTCAAGGGTTTCGTGAGTCCTAAAAGATATTATTCATAGAATACTATATTATTGTTTTAAAAACGAATCGAATGCTCATTTATCGCTTCACAAGGAGTCATGAAAGAACAATGCTATATAACTATAAAATACTGCATTTCATTGAGCTTTTTAAGTAAAATAATAATAATAATAATAAAGAGGCAGAAATGAATAATTCAATTTACTTTATGTAGTATTATACTGTATAAGATTTACTTTTTCAGTATACCAAATGATGATTGCTTCTCGACTTCTAAATGCAAATGAACTACCAAAAAAGGGGGTTTTTTAAAAAAAATAATCCTCTTTCTTAATCCGGAAATATTAAACTGAGATTTGTTTGTTATCAGTGAGTGTAGATTGAGATACAACATATATGAATTCAAGAAACAGAGTTGCGTCGATTCACGAATTTGGAATATATAATAGTACATGTTAAGAATTTCCGAGTTGTGAAACATCGAATATAATTAATACTTTAATGTGTCAGTATCACAAACTTCAATTAGTCAACTAGTGAAAGATAATAAGGAAATATCAATGATGATTTGATAATGACTGCATTTTTTCTAATTATTTCTTTGTACAGGTTAGGTGATGACCATTTGATTAGTTACAGAATACAGTAACAGTATCGTTAATCGGAAATTCAGGTAACAAATATATGAGCTTATCTATATAAGCGAGCGAATAGTCCTTAAAACCAACAATCGAAATACATTTCAGGACGTCAATATACGTCGAGGCATTTAATACGCGTAGTAATAAAAAAAAAAAGTCAGAATGCGTTCGGACAGAACTCGAAGCAAATATGCCAAAGAAGCATGCAACCATTGTCGAAAAAGGAAAACCAGATGTTTATATAATAATAGCGAAATCGACTTTATTGAAATAAGTTCCGAGATTAATCTCGGAAATCCCTCTTTTAATGATAAGACAAAGGTTGACGATAAGTTTATAAACACCGTGTACTCCATTCCCTTTTCAAACAATACGCTATCAATTCTCTCGTCTAATAATGAAGGAAGTTTTTCTGCCGTTTCAAAATCACGAGATAACGCACATGCAAGAATATGTACCCGGTGTAAAAAACATAATCTCGAATGCATATTTACTAATAAATTTGCAAAACGTGGTCCCAAAAACAAAAAACCCAAAAATGTTGGTAAACAATCTTGTTTCATAAATTCATGTCGTCATGATAATATGTAATCGTACTGTAGATTATAGGTTATATTGGATATTTGCGTGAGACAATTTTCCATTTATTTAAATTCAATTTGCGCTTTAAATATTTATATTATATTTAGTGTATATATTATTTATCTTTTGTAATTCACGTTGTTTATTATTTAAGGAATGATAAATTAGTACGAAATAATCTTTGTATGACAAATAATAATACAATCTATTATTTATAAGAATCATATATTAAACAATGTTCTCCTTTAGTATTCATATTTTTCAGACTCGTGGAAGCTTTAATTGTATTAGTTGCCGCGTCTTATATAATAAAATATGTGTATTACCTTCCATAAATTGCCGTTTTACACATTCCGAAAGTACGACCATGAATGAAAATTCATAATTGATAAAAAAAACTATTTTGGTTTCAGAATACATGTTAATGTGCAGTACTGCATGCCGCAAGTAAATTATTCTAGATTCTATATTCATTTTCAGAGTTAATGCGTAATATTTTGTCAAATAAATTTATATAGACCGTTCTAAAAATACCATACTTATTGCTTATCCGGTAATTTTACAAAATTTATATCCATATATTATGTTATAAAGAGAAAATAAATCTTTAATTTATATTCTAGCAACTCTTTATTTGCTTTATT